CATTATCTCATAGGATAATGATAATAATAATAACACAACAACACGTTATTATATTATATGCTTATACATATATTGTAGATATATATATTACTAAAGCGCTAAAAAAGAAACTGCGTTCTTTTTGGTGGACGCTCTACTTATAGAATTTCTATTCCGAAGACGGAAAGAGAAACGAAATCATTATCTCGGCCTCAATGACGGTTCCCTCTGTTTTGTTTAATATCTTTGTAAGAATGAGATAGAATTTTTGAAAATTAGTTAATAAGGTGCAACTATTTTGCAATCAATTCATAATAAGCAGTCAAGGGATCAAATTTTTCTCTCATAAACATAATGTGATTTATTTTGATATCTATTATTAATATTAAATAATCTTTTAATTAATTATTATTTAATTATCAAAATTTGTATACAATTTCTTTGCTTTAAGAAGGGAAATATGATTTGAGGAACCGTCTCAAGGGTCTAGTTATTCGTTCTAGTAAATCGCTGCAATAGTAATCTGAGTCGTTCTTTTTTTTATTTTACGAAATGTTAAAAAGCGAAAACAATAATTCCAGTTTTAGTGGAAGCAATTTTTTTTCTATAGGAGTTTTATTCGACTCCATTCGTTATAAATTGTAGGAAGACCTAGATATATTGAAACAGCTACGAAAGCTGTCTTTATTTTTCTGTCTTTCTTTTTCTTTCTTTTCTTTTTTTCTTCTTCCATTGAAAAACTATCGACTTCATGCCTTGTTTTTAACATATAGTACGTATCTGCATATACGATTATGAAACGATAAACTAATATGTTATTTTCAATACCGTATATAGTCGCAGATAGTAAGATAAAGTTTTTCAGGATGAAAAAAGAACCACAGATTTTAAGAGTATAAGAAATATATAAATACTTTAATACATATGACAAAATTTGATACAGATTCAAATTTTATTCATTTTAATTTTATTATTTTTAAAAACCAAACAATTAAAAATAAACAGTTTATTTACAAAGATTTATTTATAGAATTTTTTGGCGCAAATTAGATATGAAGTTACACAAAATTGAAAAAAAAGAAGACAGACAATACATTATTTTTTCAAATTTAATATCTTTTCTTTGGAAAGCATTTTATCAATTTTGTGGCAATTATAGGATTATTGTAGAGATTATTTAAAGAAATTTCTATAATAAAGATGAAAGATTATTATTGATTTTGACAAAGATTAACATGATCAAGATATTAGTTTCGTATAATATAATTATGTGGAATTAATTATGGTTAAATATGGCTAAAATTATGGTTAAATATTAATTTTGGCAGTTTTCTAAAACACGACTTAGATAACAACTTGGTGCAATTTTCATTTGTTTTTGTTCATTATTATATGCAATAATAATAACGATAATATGTTTAGTATGAGTTTTATTATAGATTTTATATAGTTTCGCTGATTTTGCGCACTATATAATAACCATATAATGGTATTGCGAAAAAAATTATCAAAGAGATTTTTTCTCTTCATAAGGAATGAAATTATTCTCTTAAATAGGATCTTTTAAATTGTTTTTCTTTAAAGAAAAAATTTATTCTTAAAATATAATACATATATATTTATCTCTGTTAAAGAAAATAGTTTCGAAAAAATAGTTTCTTGTTAATATTTGTTCTCTATACAATTTCTAGGTTTTAAGAAATTTATTAATTGTGAAAAAAATTTCTTCTTTTAATAAAAAGTAAAATTATTTTCTTGAATAATAATAGAACTTTTGCAATGATTTTTTTAATATGGAAATAATTTTAATAAAATAAATATGAAAAAATATTTGTATCTTTTAAAGAAAATAAGTTTGAAACGTTACAATTTCACATTTAAGACAATAAGTTTTATTTTTTATCAAGAAGAAATTTTTATTGAAAATTCTTATTGATATTTCTTGTTGATAGAAAAAAATTTCTTGTTGAAGAAAAATTTTTCCAGCATAAAATAGTTTATAATTAAAAGAATCCTATTTAGGATAATAACTTTTTTAATTTCCTATTAGAAAAAAATGTCTGGTGCGAAAATCTATATTGTGAAAGATTGCACATTCAGATATTACATTTCCATAAAAAAAAAAGGTTATTTCCTTTTGGAGGAATCTTAATAAACAATATTATACAAGTTGAGGTATTTAATATGACAATAGTAAACATGTCAAAAAGAATTGTATAAATAATTGTTTTAGATTGCATTCTTTTTAACATAATTGCAATAGTCATATTAAAATTATCCTACTTTGTATGTACAAGTCAATTTCCTTAAGTTACTTTAACGCGTTTAAAGCCTAGGAAATTGAACATTTTCGAAATTCTCGAATCCTCCATATATATATAGCTAAAGAGAAAAAAGAAAAAAAAAACAAAAAAGAGAGACCAGGAAGTAACGAGCGCAACGCGCGATGCTGTGTTTGTGCAAAATGTGCTTCGGATTTATTATAATATTGCATGTTAAACATGTCGCCAGCTACTACTGTGTGTACAGTTGAAATACATACGTGTCGATGATGGTACGATGATTTTATTTGATATATTAACTTGTTCTTTGTTTGAACATTATATAATATAATATGATATAATATAATTATATCACATATCGGGATATATGATGATGATGTAGTCACATTTGACGCACTTGCCACTTATCAGTACAACAGAGATACGCTTATGCATCGGTAAATCCGTTGTTCTGTCTCTTTGTATCAATACAATATATTATAACTTTTATTATAATGATCATATAATTTAATAATAATGACGCACGTTATGTATATTAACTGTGAGCTACAATACTGTAACAAAAACTCTTATGGCAGAAATTTACAAATATTATAAATTAATCAGTGTTATATCATAATTTTATATTAATTAAAAAATTTTTTATTTGCAGAAAAATTAGCAGAAAATTTCAAATTTTATTTTTATCGAATTGATGCAAAGATTTTGATTATAATAAAATTAAATTCAAGCTTATAAGTTGAAATGTTGATAAAATTTAAATAAAAATTTAAAATTCTGATAAGAATAGAATCTTTTATTTCATATTTATCATTATATAATTTTTACTTATAGATGCATAAATTTCTGTCACAAATTTTGCAATAAACTTTAATCACAAATACAATTCTAAATTTACGATTGAAATAAATTCACGATTAGTAATATATCTATTTAAAACATTAGTAACTAAATAAAAATTCTAAAGATACATACAATTCCTCTGAACTGTATGGATTTTCTATTCTCTAAACATACACCTTAAATTTTCATTCTTATCTCAATAATACGTGCGCAGAATTAAAATGTTGCGCGTACAATGAGTTTAGAATGAGAAATAGGACAGAGGAAAAGAGATGTACATCGTATGAAATTTTATAGTATACTTTGCTATAGAAATGCTATAGAAATTTAATATATTTTACTATAGATATACTATATTTTACTATAGAAATAAAATAAAATAAAAATAATGAAAAATGTAATGTAATGCGAAATATACTATAAAAAAGTTTTCTATAAAAATTTAAAAAAAGGATTCTATTCTTATTGTGAATTTATTTTAATCGTATGTGCATAAATTAGTTATGTCAAAAACGTTTGTGATTAAAAAGGGCAAAAATTAATTCTTTTTCGTGCTAATTACGATGCAATAATGATAAAACTCTGATAAAATGGTTGTTTTGTAGTAAACATTTTATTTTTAAGTATAATAATATAATATAATATAATCTTTTTATACTTTACTATAAAATAATTTGCTACGCAACCATCCAAAATCCATGTATACACTCATGACACACATGCACTTCATATATTTTCCAACGACTGTGTACTGTAAGTGTGAAAGTGTAGCATATAAATATATTTATTTACTCAATATAGATCCTTGTGTAATTCATTTTTATAGGTCGTTCTTTATTTGCTTATTTTATCGCCAATATCTTCCTCTGATAATTTTTTATTCTTCTAAATACAAAATAATATTTGTAACGAGATATTTATTTAAATCATCTTGCAATTATAATATTTGAAACTAAAGACTAACAGGTGTAAGTTATTTTGATGGTCACATTTTTTAATTCTTATGATGTACACTAAGAGAATGATCACAAATAACAGATTTGTAATAAATAGAATAATTTATTTATCTCACTTGACTGTATATTTTTATAGTAAAAAATTATAAATTATTTTTATTTACATGTAATTGCGATGATAGAAAATATAGTAGCACAACTTTTTATATCTGTATTATAAACTGTTCTATAACTCTGAACCTCAAATTGTTAAACAAGAGATCATTCTGTAAAAAGAAAGAAAATGACTGATGAAAACGTGTGCTACTTTTATATTTCATATTTATATATATAATAAATTTTAATGCATACGTGACATGCGTCACAAACTTTCCAATATTTTTTCTCATTGATCGGAATAGGATCTGTATTACATACATATATCTACACTCAAATATAATGTGTTCCAAGATTTATTTTATTTTATCTCTTCTATTTCATTGCAAGTGTTTCAACATTGCATTTTCCTATCACAGATTGCGTGTTAAGTATTTTTGTTATCTTCATACCTACGTATTTTATCCCTGTCATCATTTAGCTAATATTAACATATCAATTTCTGTATCAATAAAACTTCTAAAAATCTCACGCACGTATTGTTACATTATAAATCAATACGTTCTAAAATGTTCGCTTCATTTCTCGTGTATACTATATTTTTTTTACTTCTGCTAATATCAAATTTGTTGTAACATTATATTACGTTAGGCTTAATGTTACAGTACGTGTTTAACGTATCACACAAGTTCACATAATATACGTTTAATATGACAAAAAAATATTTCTCTTTGACGATACTTTCATAAATAATTTATAAAAATATCGCTAAAGATCAGTGCAAAAATTTGCATTTAAAATATAATAAATACATTCATGAAAAATAGATTACAAGATACAAAAAGTACATTTCTTTTTTTTCTAATTTTTCTTTTAAAATCAATCAACATATAATTATATATATTTATGCACTGCCTGAAAACGCACAAACTATAAACATTAAGGTGCGCTGCTTGTAAATTAAGTATAGATAAACGTCATTAAGTAGAATAAATTTATAATGGTTTTGTACTAAAAAGGTATATTATCGATGTATATCTTATGTTAATAACAGAGAGTTACTGGGCTATTTTGCTAAAATAATCACAGTTTATTAATAAGAGATGTAGAGGTATATTATGGCGGATTAAAGACACTGCTATTTAAAAACTAACCATGATAATTTACTTTATATTTTTTTACTTTTACAGATTATTAAAAAACAATAATAAAAATAATAAAAAAAATAATTAAAATAACAAAATGCTTGTGCGTTTAGATTAGCACAATTGTTCGGCCATTGATTGGAATACATGAATATAGAATCCCAAAAAAAAACAATTAAAACCATTTCTAATTTGTATATAAATAAATACGCGTTAAAAAAACATTTAAAAAAAAGTAAATATAAATCAATCCTTATTGTACATATTGAATAATATCAAGAGTTTCGTTGTGTTGCTCGTTTCTTTATGGTACAATCTCATTTACGATATAAACTAATTTCCACCAGTTTATATATACACTCTACAAGGAGGACATTTGTACAAAGGATATTTATCAGTGACACAATTATCGATTTTAGATGGTAAATTATGTAAATCATAGCTACTATCCTCCTAATCAAATGGAATGTTAATAAGCGCGAACAGATCTAAAATAGATCTAAGTAGCATTTGAATTATCATCTTCTTCCACACATTGTGTATACTATTACTACTTCATAAGTAAACATGATAAGTAACAATTCCTTCGCCTTTAACCTTCATTAAAAGATAGAAAATATTTCGATAAAACAATTAGTAATATACATTTAAAACTGGCTGTCTAGCGAAGGTTTATATATAGAAAGCAATATAAAAATAATTTCAACAATATATACAAACAGATTTACCGAGTGGATCCTCTGTAAATATTAAGAATTAAGCAGTAATCTTTCTATTCACACAAATTGAGCAGTAGAAGCCACACGATTCCATTGTTAATACATCGATATATAAAACAACTTTTGCTAAGACACGATCGGTTCGCGAGGATAGCTATCAGATCTCTCAGTTATTCGTGGTACACAGGATGTGCGCTAGAATCCCAAACGCACCACCCAGAACGAAGCGGACAAAGTTGTCACCTACTAGAGGCCCCAATGCGTAAAGTCCCTTCATTGGTGCCTTAGTTACCTCATACGTAAAATTGTCGATTTCGATCGGATTTGATTTGCTGTCGATCGGCTTGTCCGCGAGTTTACCTAGTCCCACACCGCCGCCTTCTAAATACGATAGGTCTGCTTTGTATCCTAAAACAAATTATCAAACGTATCAATATCGATGATGTGTACTCGCTACAATTGTACAGCGTATTAAAGTTTTTATTCAACTTTTAATAATGAATTATTTATAAATGTTACATTATACATTTACCGATGAGAATAGCCGCAAACGACACTTCAAACGTGTGCAGCTGACCGTCGGGAGCAGAAAGAATGACTAATCTTCCTGTATTCATGTTTTCATCCTTGCAATCCCCGCCAAGACTGACGAGCGTGTATCCCGGCAGTGACTTATACAAAGGATAATTTGTACCTCCGTCAGCCATCATCTCGTACACCTTGTGGTATTCTGGATATATGGAACTCGGCAACGATTGCAATCGATCGTAACTGGTAGTTATCTTCTCGGTGCTCTCCTTGCCCCACTCACTCGACGAATTGCGGAATGCGTGAAGCACGGGTATACCGCGGAAACGCGCGGCCATAATCGCGTCAGCTGCGCTCAGACCAGCGCCGATCACCAACACAGGTTGCGTTTGTTTATCGGAACTTTTGCCTGCAATTTAATGTTTCTTAAATTAGAAGGAATCAAAAACAAGTTATGTAATTCGCAGACAGTGTACGCGAGAAAGAAGATAAATTTAAGCAGATTCGTCAAATTATGTAATTATCTTAGCTCTGTATGAAATCTCTTGTATTTGCGTACCACGTTCTTTGGCCAAATGTTCCAATTGAGTTTCCAGATCGTTGAGATCGTGCGTTACCCAGTTGGGGTGTGTGTTCTCCCCTGGAATGCCTAGGTGATTCGACAGATCGGTTGTGCCGGTTGCGAGGACCGCCTTTTTACACCGATACCGAAATCGCTTTCCGCTTCTGTTCTCATATCCGTCCACGATCCATTTGTACCCTCTTTTACTGTCGGATGATTTCGTGTCCGATCTTACCGAAGTAACTGTGGTCCCGCTGCAACAGATTTCTTCGTGAAAGTCCACATCGGTGTCAATTATAGACTCGTGCTATAGATACTTTAATACTACACATGCCTTCGGAAGTATTGCTTCAAGCCTTTCCTGCGCACGTAATCTTTGTAATAAGCAGCTACGACACCTACGGACACTCGGCTGGACGCCTTACAAACACTTAGTTTTCCTGCTGCATATACATATCGCTCTTCGCCGTTATAACTGACTTTTGCAATCGTTCGGCCTCGACGAGTTTTTTCCACTGCCTCAGATCCAAGTCGGGAAGGGACATCCATCGGCTCAAACTGAGAGTCAGCACATTGGGGTCCATGGACTAGAGATAATCGTACAAAAAAAGCTTGAATAACAACTGCGAAGAGTTTTTCATAGTATGCGAAGATGCTTCGTTAAGTGTTTGCTAATATACGTTATCAATTAATCTGATCTAATGAAAGTTTACTTTGCAGAACAACAAATTTAGAATTTATATGTGACTATAATATTATAGAACTACAATATTTTCATTTTATAATTTATTAGAGAAAGAGACATACACACCTGCCAGGCGCCGCCAGGCTGGCCCTTGCCAAGAACAACGTGCTCCACGATTCTGTGCTCGGAATGCTCGGCAGCGGACTTCCAGTTGAGAAGCGAGGCCACATCGAAGCCGGCATCGACGCACGGATGCTGCAACTGGTCCATGAGCAAGGCTAAAGGTCGACCGCCGCCCCTACCCTCGATGCCGGAAGACAGGCATTCGAGTTTTTTGCGCGTACTATGCGCCAATCCGTCTTTCTGCGTCCTGCCGGATTTGGAACACTGCGACTTGTGACGCCGGTTGTTGGTGGTCGCATCGATGTTTGCGTCGTCCGGCGTGTCACCGCACTCCTCGCTGCCAGTGTTTGTCGCGTAGAACCGTAATCGCGCCGTCAGCATCTCGTCGCAGGGATGAGGCTCGCCGGTGTAGTAAGGCCAGTTCCCGGCGAGCATATATGACAAGCATATTCCACTGGGCCCGTTTCCTGAAGATTAAAGAACGTATAAACGCCAGGATTCCCCTCTAATAATTATCTTTCACGAATTTTTATTTCTTGTTTTACGAATTTTTTAATTTACATGCTCTCACGCTTGCAGAAGAATAAGCAATTTTAATAGAAAAATTTTTTTTTCGCGAGAAAGTGATTCAAAACTGTTGACGAAGCATGAGAAGTTCATTGATCTCAAATGCGTCTCAAATAACCATACGTTTGTACATTATAAAATCTGGTCAGTATTAAACGCTAGTTCAAGTGAAATTACGTGCAAGAGTTCAATTTTTAAAACACAGAGATAAATAAATAAATAAATAAGAGGAAAATATTTATGTAGAATTTATAAGAGAAATAAATATACTTCTTTTTTTTTATTCAACATAAATCAAGTTTAATATAAAATACGATAATATTGGAAAATATATTTCCCCCCTTGTGTTGCTATTTTTGTATCTCTTTTATTATTAATCCAGCTACACATTTAGATCAGTCTTGTCTCAAGATAAGGCTTTGAGACGTTTCGTGTACTCACCTATGATGACAACATCTTTATAAATTACGTCGTTGTCGTCGGACTTGAATGTGTCCGGCATTGTTTCTGGTTTCTTTATCCGATGTCCGTGTAGACAGATTTACCGCGGTTCACTCGTCGGTCTGTTCGAGCACTGCAAAGAGATTCACAGAACAGTAATTATTTTGTTGCATAAACACGGTTGCATAACATTACGCGCATTAATAGTTCTTCGGAAAAAAAAAGAAATTGCAAGATAACCGCGTCTATCATTTTTCTTGCAGCTAATCTCTAATTGCGGCGGAAGTTTCAACATTCCTGGCGCTTGTAACCAGCAAAATTGTTACATACAAAAATACTTATCGCGATGCGTCGTTCTTTTTTACACGCGCATAGATAATCTAGAGCTTTTAATTTTGTATGAGCAAATAACGAAGTAGAGACAATGACTTCGTGAAAATTTTATATATATATAACAATAAGCCACAAACTCTTAATTGATAATCAATTAATTTTTCAATTAATAACGCATGAATGTACGTATCCCATACATTTTTTCGCCGCGTACTAATTAAGAATGAGAAAGATAAACGACATTACACGAGCTTTTAAAGATTTTCCGTGTTACAACACAGCAATCGTTACAGATAAGATAAACTGCGATGCTCCTTTTCTTCGGATGACAATGCAATTTATAAACGTAATGTCATAATAAATAATATCAAGTTAATCTCATCACAATCAACGTGGGAACATTGTTACGTTATGACGAGTAATTTATGAGTCGTTTGATATATATCAACCACGAGTGTATCCCATCGTTACGATCGTCGGGAGTGCGAGATCTCTGAGATAAAAAAGAAAAGAAAAAAATAAACGACCAGGCCGTTCATTAAAAAGTAAAAGTCGTAACCTTCGTCCTCGTCAAGTGGCCTTTGCTGGCGTCACGTTTTCCTACTCTCTAACGCTTAACCGGTCCACCCGATACAATTACTGTGACATAAATCGCAAGCTTTCCCGCCGATCAGCTATTAAGTCTGATTATCTAGGTGAATTCGATAAGGACCCATAGAAAATTCTATTAAAGAGTATAAAAACAGCAGAAAAAATTTAGAAAATAAACAAAAGTGCAAGAGACGCAATAGTAATAAAATGAAAAATTTTAATGATAAAACAAAATAAAATTTTTATTTACGTTCAAAGTAGCCTGCTTATCTCGATCTGATAAGGCTGATGGAAAGTTTATAGATAGTAGAAAGTTTAAAGATAATAGAATATAATGGGAAAAAATAAAAGCGAATAGTAGAATGAAAAAAAGACGCAACAAAATAAAATTCAAATTTTCATCCGCTTGCAATTGCGTGGGCAATTTACTAGATGAAAGCGTAGAAAAGAGCAGAGTTAATAAGATGCACGATCGAGATCGACTTGCGCGTAGCTCCGTTCCCGTCATTATCCGGACGCTTTTACTCGAGACAACCCGCTCCACAAATAACCGACGGGAACGACCCGTTCGTATTCGTATTATGTACTTTTGGTCCACTTTTATTATGATTATAGTTAAGAATAGCAGCATCATGAAAGATCGTCGGCAGAGAGAATTTGACAATGGTCCAACATAGATACCACCGTAAGATTGTTACATTGTCAAACAAATTTCTGTGCGCGAGATGACTCGAGATAAATCGTCGGAGTGTCTTGCGTGAAAGAAGCGGAAAATAAAGCTCGAAATCGCGTCGATGCGGGATTAAAGGGTATAAGGTGACAAGGCATTGTTATTCCCCGCTTATCGCGCTCGCGCGAACCTCCTCATCGAGCGAAAAAGCTACGAATTCCCATCAGCATTTTTTCCTCGGGGGCGCACGGAGAAATCTTATCGCGGAATCTATCGAAGGCAAACGGTCGTGGCTATTGCGCACGATCACGATATCGATCGACATAGTTGACAGCGAAATAAGTGTGAGAGAGAGTTTCTTAGCTAACAATGAGCCAGTATTCACGGAGTGTACAAATATTCACGATATCGCACACAAGTCCTGTGTGCTACCGAGCGATAGCGATTTTGCCGTTCGCGTGTATCCCATGTGACAAGCCGGATCGATAGAAAATAATTTGTTCCTTCGCGGAAACAGCACGTCGCACACAGAGAAAACGTAATCATTGAAATAAGATTTATTATTCTCCGCGGCGTAAACTAATTCGTATCAATAGACACAAGTGTCGACGTTATCTAAAATTTAATTAGAAAAGAAAGCGTTTAATCATTAATACCAAAATATTTATATCTATTATATATAGAACACTTATCAATTTTATCGCTAAAATAGCTTTCTCCTTAGATAAAATTGTCGCGCGTCGATATAGTACGACGCAAAAGTGAGAATATAAACATTATTCTAAACAAATTCGCATCTTCCTCGCATTTGTCATTTTAATTTATCACTCGAGTGTCAGAAATACATAAACGTGATAGAATATGGAAAAAAAAAATACGAGGTAAGACCGCGAAAGATGTAAGGACGGCTACGTATTAATCGATCGCGGGTTAAATCGATAGTCACCTCGATGCCTCTTTTTGCGAGATATGTATAAACGCAAAATGATGTCCCATTGTGGGGTCAACCGGTCACAAGTCGCTCGATATAACCAGCTTATATATATTGTTATAGACATAAATTCGCTCTATGAAATCTGTTGAAATGTTAACCGCGCGCTACATATTCAATGTTGTGTCTATGTCGTGGACATCAATATATCTTACACTTAAAAAAAAAGTGCGAGAACTATGCTATATAAATATCAAAGCCGCAACTATAATTGCGGAACGCATCTTCGCGGAATGTTGACACTTGAAAACTACACATTCCACGCGCTAAAAATTGTTTCTATGTCGAAAACTTCCACCGCGTTTATAGAATTCTATCTCTCTAAACATATGGAAGCTAAGCTGTTTAAATATTGATCCGCGATATGTCACATTAAGAAGGCAAATATACAATTTTGCGGATTCGGCGCGCACGCACACGCACGCACGGCCCAAGTAAAAGCGCGTTAAATTTATTATGCCTTGATATAACGTAATTACGATTCTGATGTAAAGCAATGAGCGGTCGCCGTCGTATCTTTACGACGTCGTAACAGATGTACTTATATATCTGATTCGGCGAATCGAGCAACGCCACGGCGCTTTGCACAGCATCATCCATTCTTAATTAAAGATTATTCCGCGGCGAGAGTTCAGTTGATACAAGACGAAAGGTTCGGTAATCAATGAGTCATCAATTTTAGAACAATTTAATGATCTCTTTTGTAAGCACCAATTTACTTTATGCTTCACGACGTTTATCTTCAATTAATATTCATAGACAACACGTGCGCGCCGATATCATCACGAGGTTCGCAAGATTTATATTCTTTCGAGAAATAAATCGATATAAAAAAAGAATAATGAATGATTATTTTGCAATAAATTTTGTGAAAGTGTTATTTATGATTGTTCTAAGAATTTGATTCATGAAGTCGCTCTGTCGAGCAATTGTCTCATCATTCTCTTTAGATTTTCTCGTTATTATTCTCTCTAGATAATTTTCTCATTATCATTCTCTTTAGGTCGCATGATTAGATGAATACATGATAAAACTGTGTCGCGCGTACACAGTACGGCGGAAATGCGATCGTGTAAACGTCTTTCTGGTCAGACTCGCGTCTTCTTTCCGCACAAATTCTGTAATAAATTTTTCGGAATTAAATTTTCCTCCGTACGCGGGTTAAAACTGTGATATACATTTTATCTAACGTAATACATCATCCCCCCGCGTATACCGGTCTGTCGCACCATCTTTTTCCTGTCCTTGCCAGACAGGTTTTCTCTCTCTTTTCTTCTCACGCTCGCCTTGAATTCAAAAGAAACGAAACAACGGAATGCATGGTCCAGAGATCCAGCTATCTAACTCGGGATGAGTCAGCCACGAATGTGCTCAAGTATACTTTACCAGCTAAAGTTTTACCTATCATCTCCCCGGCGATGATCTTTGTTAGAAGTTCCGTGAAATAAAATAAATCCTGCAATTCCTGGAATTTTTTGTTTTCTCCAAAGCGGAGTTTCGCAATCGTTTATGAGAAGATTGTAACATGATCTTCCGCTTACACACGTCCCAGGCTTATCGAAAGTTACTTTAGAAATTATTTCGCCCTCCTAATTCAATAATTTCAACAAATCTTCATGTTGCACATTTATACATTATTCTATTCCACACCATACTATTTCTTAATGTTGCAAATGTTGCGAATTACATTTGCATATTTAGGACGGTTGTGTCCTTCTGCTTGAATATGTATGTCGCACGCAAAGTCGTCGTTCTAAATTGATTAGTTAGAAGAAGAAGAAGTACCGTTCTTTGGCTCAGAAGAATATTATTGACGAAGACTGAGAGATCTAACAATAAATCACATCTCTTAGTTTGAAGGCTTAGGCTGCGTTCGGGAAGCGCGCTATCAGCGCTATTGCGTCTTCTATCTTTATTGCTCATTAGACATAAAACAAGGATAGAATGACACAATTGCGCTGATAGTGCGCTCCCCGAACGCAGCCTTAGAAACCCATCTGAGAATATCTACCACCCATTACTAGACCCAACTGAGAATATCTACTACATAAAATCTCTCGACGTCAGAAGCGCGACCTTAACATAAAGACGCGTAATTTGAACGCAACCCGTTTCTAGTGTAATAAAAAATATTCAAAATAGAAAAATATGATAAGATCAACAACGCGTCTGAGTTTGACGTCATTTTGAAAAGTAATCATTCATTCATTGCCGTCGCTTTATCATTCTTTGCACAAAATTAAGCATTAAAAAAGAACTTTAGAGATAGATTATTTGAGTCATTCTGCTGACTGAATAGTCTCGAAGAGGAATTCTTTTCTGATTTTTTAATGAGCCTTTATTTAGCTTGTTTACAATTTAAATATATAACAAGAACGATGCAAGCTAAAAAATATTTTCTCACAATCGCCAACACGTGCTTCGTCTCGCGAAGTCAGTCGACTGAGTCAGTCGTTGACATATATATTCATACATAAATTGTTGCTATCTACTTCATTAATGCCAAACAGCAGTTAGCTTCCTTAGTTTTTGTAAAACACGTCGAGTAATAATGAGAGTGTAAAAAAGTGCTTGAACTATGCAATCACCTGTCATGCATCAAGAATAAGTGCAGATAAATCGCAAAAGAAGGAAGTATACCGACGATAGAATACAATTAATAATTCTAGAAAAACGCGATCGAATATCGTGAAAATTCCGGTTGCGCCAAATATGCAAAATACACGCTGCGAACGAATGTTGATCAATTTCGTAGGCGATCCGGTAAACACGAGATACGACGAAGTGACCGGCTCTTATTTGGCTCACATCAATTATCTCAGCATTTAACCCCCGCATTGTTGGGGGTTAACTTATACAAACTTGCTCGCGGCGCATTAATCGTGGCGCTAGACCCATTACGTTCATTAGCCGGTTGAATAGAGTGATGCCCACGCCACTTGTATACATATAATTATAATTATAACGCCCGCCGTTCCACATGTGCTTATAACAGACGGCTGGTCAACCGCTATTTCAACCGAAAATCTGCACATCAAAACCAGAATGGATAATATCATATGAATAATTTCGGCTAAAATTGAATATCTTAACTATCCGATATACCTGCGCGCTTCTCCACTTTCTTACGCGGTTTTTGTAATTATTTTTAGCCTTTCCAGACATGCATAAGTCAAGTTTTATTTGTGAAAAGCGGAAGAATCTCAATACTTCTTTAAGCGTGCGAATTCCACCTACAATTCCAGTCATGAATTTCAATTAATGACAAGAATGTGATACTTGGTAAAATTGCGCAGAATGTGTAGCCGTGTTTTTACTCAAACCGAGATCGATAGTTACGTAACGTGTACATACATGTAGTTACATTCGTCTTTTATAGCGCAGAAGTCATATCGCTGTAATTTCGGAATACGACGCAGAGTGATTTGCAACATATTCAATGTTATCGCACATTATGAATTTATTATTCGAGTTTATACCTTGAAAAGAAATGTCAAGTGTCCGTATTGATAATTCGATTATTTCCTAAGTCTTTCTCTGAATTTCTTTTTCTCTGATCTTCATCTATCGATAACAAACAATTTGGACAAATTAACGTTATTACGATAGATGATAAAATGATTTATTATGCACTAACATAAGAGATTTTAAAATCTCTTCAATTTAATGGATACCAATAACTGGTATCAATTATTGTGCTAGCTCGCGGGAAAAATCGTTCCGTTCAAAACTCCTTTCCATTCCTTTAATTATTATTAACAACTACTTCAACTTATTTTAGCCGCGCATATTAGTTTCCACTTATCGTAAGCATAAATTAAGATATGTTAACATGAATAGTTCAAATAGTTCGATGATTGTTGCGTTTTCGCAATAGATAAGTTCGTTTTCGCAATAGAGCAATCGGCATCCTTGAGCTTAGGATTGCAAGTCATTGCTCGCTTCTACCTGAGATCGTACGGAGTATTAATATATGACACATACAGGAAAAGACCGATGCAATTTACAATACAAAGTATAAATTAAAGATAATTAGAAGTATAAATTACTTGACGAAAAAAATCATCAAATTACATTGAAGTCATATAGAATGTTAATTTTGCGATAAATCTCCCTTATGCAAATCGCGTCTTGAATATCCGCCAATTTCGGCGAACTGAAATAGGCAGACAATTAAATTACACCGCCCAGGTGATAAAATTATACTATCGGCCATTGACTCGGCGTCTTACAGAGCCGAATTAAGATTACGATAATGCAATTTTCGTAATTTTTAGAAATTTGAATTTCAAAATCCGAAAAAAAACTTGCTTCGACGCGATTGCGCAAATAACGTTTCACACAATGTATTCTGCTTCTGCCACCAATATCCAATTGTTGGATGAAACATTAATTTGAAATTTAATATCGAATTCATAATAAACATTGATATTATTGCTGTTATTAATATTAACGTCAACTGAAAAATATTAATTTCCAATTCCCATTTTCATATCAAATGTCAATATTAATATCCCGTTCACTTCAGATATTATTTACACGCTTCTAAATTTAATTGTATTGATGTTATATTGTTTTCCCACTTTGCATAGTTAAATTAAACGCCCCTCGTTACGAAACGCTGAGCTTTCAAAGAGCTAAAGTTCTCAGATGGATAATTAATGATGGATTAAACGTATTATTAAATTCGTTGTTAAACGCTTCATTCAGAAAGTGCATCGCATAATTGTCATAATGTCATAAATACTTATACCAAAGAGCACATTAAACCGGAATTGTCTCGCGAACACGAAGCGTTTTCAAAAAGAATCCAATAACGACCCATCGTTTAACCTAGTGGATTTCGCATGGTTGTAATGATGTCTGCGTAATATGTCGCGGATACATAAATGACGGATCACTGTTTTTATAAAGTGACAGTTTTTGCCATCACGATATTAAAGGGCAAAAGTAAATTGATGTCATAAACGCGCATCCATGTAATAATATTCACGAATTAATAATATGCTCAGTGTAATATCCATAAATTTTAGATTTAATAAAATTGCAAGTTCTTTCCTCTCTCTCTCTCTCTCTCTCTCTCTCTCTCTCTCTCTCTCTCTCTCTCTCTCTCTCTACTAACAGTTATTTTAAAAAAAAAAAAAATATATATATATATTTTTTCGTTACTTTTTTTAATATCGCTAGATTGAACTAGAATTTAATAAACCTTCGGAACTTTGAAATACGAATTTTCTTTGTCATGTCTTTTGAAATGGAATTCAAAAAAAGATTTCGATTTTCGCGAAATGCCATTCGCGTCATGCAAATCGCAACGAATATCTTAGAAAGTCCCAGGACGTACAACGCGCTTTTCCCATTTCCTTTTTATTTTCCGACTGTCAGTCACATTGCCACTTTGTCCCTCCTTCGTTATTCAGACGGATATAATTATGGATCGATAGAACGACTAAATTGCTATTCACGACGTAACTGTTTCCGCGCGAAATATCAGGAATTACGTGTATAAAAATCTCAAGGAAAAATTGCGAAGACAGAAACATACAACAGGTAACTCCCACCTTGTTTTTTTCTTTCCAAAAAATTTGCTGATTTATGCTGTCTGTCGATTTTTCTTCCCGGTATGTCGATGTCAATTGAATGTGTGAATATCGTCGATTGACCGGTTTTCGGAGCACGCTTCACGACACGCTACACTTCACCCGGCGACGGTCGGCGTCGTACTGAAGCGTGCACACCACGCGCGTTCGCCTTTTCCGCGGAAACGGATGCGTATCCGAAGGCCACGCGATGAATGGCGTTTTCACGAGGTGATTTCAGTCACGAGATATCAATCCTTTCGTCACAAATGTTGTAGTACAATGCGATTGTATTCGCGATATAGGGACATTTTTCTCTAATTAGAAGTGTCTTGCATTCTGTGACAGATATAAAGACTTCTTTACGCAATAACGATAAAAAAAAACACGGAGATGAAGAGATAATTATATTTTGCAATTATCATAAGACTTTTTTATAATAATTATGCTTTGTATATCTAATCAACAGCGCAAGCGAATAATAATCTCATCACAAGCGTAGATATCTTATTTTTTTTTTTTTAAATTAAATTCTATCTAACAATTATCAATGACAAAAATGTGACATTTAGAAGCGGTGCTTGCTGGATGACTAATACGTGCAAAAATTTTGCTACCAACTTATAGATAATTTAAGAGTTAGAGATAGATATCGTAAGAGTTAATACATTCGGTGTCCTAGTATGCATTATTGCTCATGTTCGATGCTGATGAGACTTTAATGATCTGTACGGCAGAAAAAAGGTTTATTGCGACGCACTACTGCCGGTCACGTTTCTACTAAGTTATAGTGTTACATCGCGAATATTTTTCTTGTATTACATTTACATGCGTGGGTCGGTCATATCGATCCACGCTACTACTTGTAGAACATCAATAAAAAGATAGTCGGAACATGGTACAAAGTTAGATAGCATCATCCTTACACATTCCATTTCTGTTTTTTTTTTTCTTTTTTTTTGTCAACGGTATAAAGAACTTACGCCTGTTAGAACTTTTTTATTTTTATTCTTAAACATCTTGGTAATTGGGTGTGAAATATCTTGAAGAAATCTTTTAAGATTCGATGAGTCCGTTAGAATAAATTTCAATTGGAGATAACATAAGATTTCGCTGAAATTTTATATCCCTAAAGTTTAATTTAAAATAAATATTTAAATACGCCTTTAATGCTGAAGCCTGATACTTCAGTACTATTCTTACGAGGTATATTCTTACAATATTCCAGTATATTCCTGCGATGATGTCATAATGCTAGAACGCAAAAACTTATCTTACTGCAGATAAGAGGAGGTTAGCTTTTTCCATGAAACCATGTTTGATTTAACATAACATATTTGGTTGCAAAAATCAATTTAATTTTTTAAATAATTATTTTAAACAAAAACTTTTACTTCATAACTCTTTGTTACTTTCATAACTCTTTGTTTCTCAATGAAATGCATCGATTTTCTTTATAATTTTAAATTTTCATGATTACATTAATTAATAATTAACAGCATGACAATATCACGTGTTATATCACTTTATAAATTTTGTGTAACATATTCTATAATAAATAAAATAATAATTCTCTATAGCAAAATAAATAAAATATGAAATACGCACGGACGAAACTTATAAATTTATGAAAAAATACAGAACATTTCATATACTAACTTTTACATGATAAAATAAATAATGTTATTCAAAATGGAAGAGTGATGTTTTACATATCAGCAACATGAATTTCAGAGATATCACCGCAAATTTAATGATTTAAATTCGCCTCTTCATGTATACAAAACAAATATTTTTTTATTGTGTCCAAATGCATTCAATCACAAGGTTATCACACAGTATGATTAAATAAATCTTAATGTTAATGACTAAATTATCGAAATTGTAAAGATGAATATAGACACATATAGAGTACATGATTATTATCGCTGAGATTATAGCAAACATGTTTCCGCGAAATTGCGCAAATGGAAATGTACTGTGAAACGGTGATAAATAATGTCCCATTTAATGCGAAGCAAGGTTTTGATTCTTTAATTATCATCATCGATAGCACGCATTTCAACCGCACAAAGTTACATGCCATAATTCTCGGGTTAAAAGATAAATACAACATGTATGACATTAATATCAGCTATTGATCATTGAATAACGTTGGACAACTTGAACAACGTGGAAGCAATTTCTAGCTGAATTAATGAAAGTAATTTGTAATATACGCAGAAAATTGCAAATCTGTCGCTCATAACGTAGAAATTTTATCACCACTATTAGCGAAAAGAGTTGAAAGATAAATTGGATTAAATACAAATATAATTCAACGAATTGTTTTCGTAATCGATTGCTAAATTTAATTATTTTGTCTGCTCAAATGATTTTTCTTTCTTCTCGATCGCCTATTTATATATTTTACTCTACACATAGCTACGCGATAAATAGAAGCTATATTTAATTTTACGTACGATATATAAATAATGCTCGCGGACGCGAAATCAGTCAAAACATATTGTCGTAACTAATAAATCATTTCCAGATATTATGAAAAATGATGTAACACAATTTCGAAAACCGTCATGGAGCGTCTGCGCTCCAAAATTAGAACAACCCTGTGTATATATATATACGTTCAAACGCGCAGTAGAATATAGTTCAGTATCACTACAAGTAGTAATATCCTAATTTGCATTTCTAGTATCCTTAAATTAAATTCTTTTAGTGATATTTTTTAATTATATAATTCATTACAAATAAATGTTTGTTAAAATAATACGATATAATTATATCGTCCTGGTGCTAATTATTAATTAATATTAATTATGAAAGTGTAAAATTATAAGGAAAATTGATGCATTTCGAGAAATAAATGAGAAATTTGAGATATTATGCAAAGAGATGTCATATCATTCATTATAGACTTCGATCTTCGATTACGGCTTTAGGCGCATAATTTATCGAAATTTCCAGAATACAGAACGTTTTATCTGTAAAGTAGATATCAAAGTGGCAAAAGATAAAAATGTAATCTACAGGATACATTGCTAATTTTAGTGTTAAACGCGATGATAGATCGCTTCGTCTCGTGGGATCGAATTACGCGAGAATCAACTCACTGCCACAAAAACAGATTTGGGTTACTTCGGTTAAATCTATTCGCTTAATATTCTAACAAATCGCGCGAACGCGATTCGTAATCTTCGTACTGCCTTAGAGGAAAAAAGCGGAATATGAAATTAATGATTTTGTAATCTCAAGCCTCAAAATAAACATAAAACATAATATTAGCGTTAATATCAGCTGATAAAAAATTCTAAACCCATGTGTAAAATTATCAAAAAACGTAAAAGTTTGAAATTGATATATTTTTCTGAAAATAGGCAAAATCTCATCTTCTACTATCTTTTCTTTTCTATTCTTTTATATGTTTTATATGTTTAGTATAGTTTGCGTGTTTATATGTTTGTCTATATTTTTCTTTTATTATCACTGTTTTACATATATATTTCAATATATCTTAATTTATGTATTTTTCACTTATCCCTTAAATAAGATTATCCCCAAGATCAGTCTAACAACAAGATATGTGAACGCTTTCTATTAATAAATCACTAATAAATTTTTATTACAATTAATTTCTACGATTTATTATCATCATCATTCTTCAAGGTATTGCGTTTGACCAACTTAACTAACGTGATTAATAGATATAGAAATGCAGGAATTACCTGGTCTGTCCAGCACGTCGTCATCGCGTCTAGTCCGGATTGCAGACTCTGATCCGATGCATCGCGCGGAGGTTCCGTTGGACGTTCGTGCAACGAACGTTCTCAATGCGATCGGTGCCAAATCGCCGACAGAGGCAGGCGTTTTCGAATATCATGATTAAAGGGACAGCCGATCGCGCTCGAGGTGAAGTGTAGCACCGTCCGGTGAACACGTTCGCGACAATTAGCTCGCGGCAATCCGGCCGTAAGATCGAGATCTTCTTCTCGGTTCACTCGTTGTGATATCGCGTAATCTTCGCGATGGACGTTCTTGATTTCGTGGAAATGGGCGCGTTTAAATTCGTCCAAGACCGTCGTCACCGACACACCTCGTCCCAGCCATTGATTTTCTTCTATTCACCACGGATAACGTTCGTCGCCCTCGATGTATACGCGCGCTGAATGCAATGTGAATATAACCGCGAGCGTCGCTGCAGAATCGCATACTCAGCGACATCTATCGACAAAACCCAGCATTTTTTTAAATCGTAGGTAACAAAGCAGTTGGCGCTGGAAATAAAAATAATTATATTAAAATATATACCAAAAAATTGCTTTTTAATATTAATAATATTAAAAAATATTACACGAAAACAATCACCGCTGTTCACTTAGCACATAACCCTTACACTTATTGTCTGTAGGTAAATATTTACGGTTGGTCAAGTAGATATCTTGTTTATTTATATTCGATAATGATAAATTTATATTTCTCAATTTATCTTCTGAATTACGCTCGACTAGTTTTTATGCCGGTTGATGAAGACTAGCCAAGATGACGTTGTTAATTTTATATGCTTTCAGTTTCCATATTTGTTTTGGTACGTTAAAAGTTTATTATGTATATATTTTTTTAATTAATCTTAATTTCGATAATGATTTTCGTATATTGGCACTCAAGCGTAACATCTCAATCAAAAGTCTGGCGCACATCTCTCGCGTTGACTTGTCGTCATTGTCGTATTTACATATGAAAGCTTTTCTATGGAAGCACAGACAATAAACGCAGGCATCTGACTTGATTCAGTGGAAGTATTTTTCCGCATTGTACATACCGTATTGACAAACCGGATTTAAAGAGACGATATGGTATTTTACCCGGTCCTTTTATTTGTCAGGCACCGACATAAAATGCGAACGGCACTGGAATGCAGGTGCATCTTCGGTGTATACGTATCGAAGCAGGTAGGATATTTTCGAAGATTGCCTCTACCGATGAACAAGCGTAAAGAAGTTACACCTGCCGCGCAGTACAGTCCGCAAAGTCGACGGACGCCAATTATTTATTTCTCAAGGAAAAATTATCGAAAAATCGATGAGAATTGGCGAATAATAAGATAAACAGGTTTGTAAAATTCAATTATAATAACTTGTAATTTTTATCTTCAATTTACTTGAAATAGTTTTGTTTTTATAGAAAATAGATAAATAATATTACTCAATTTGCATTAATATCTTGTTAAACACTAATTTTTGCATAACAAGTATTAACAATTGCTAAAGGAGACATTTTTTTAACTTGAATATACTGCCATTGAGATGGGAATTCACACACACCATACTTCTACCTGCATGCTAATGTTTCCTTGTTGGTGGAATCGGTGTTTTCCGGTGAAAAGTCAGGCGACTGAAAAATTTTATGGGAAACTATGATTAATTGCTGAGAAAGTAAGTTAAAAATACCTAAATTATACGTTAAAGTACATCATTTTGATAAATCTACAAGGAAGTAAGTAACATAAAAAGAAATTATCTTAAAATGCAATCTTTGAATTTTTTAATCTTTACAAAATCAGTAATTATCAGAATACTGAAACTAACTTTGCAAGATAAATCCATGTCAATTTTCTTATTTATCTATTTTATTTACTTTTAATAGGTAATAAAATAAACATGACTGATGATCTGGGCAGAATTACATTATTTAAAAAAAGCAATTATAGTTCCATTAACATATTGCATAGTGTATTATCATCGTTGATCTCTTCGACGTCGCTGTTAGGCCCCGACGAGCCGTAAGGCCCTTACGTGTCGACCTCGAGTTTTGCAACCTCCCACAACTATGGAACTCACGCTTCAACCTTTTCCCTTCGTTGATCGAGCGAACCAATGGGAAGATTGCGGTGCTTTCCCGCGCCGGGGTCCGACGGGGACCCGGCGTCGTCCGCAATCACTTCACGTCTCGTGAGCAACCGCCATGTTGTCAGTATGCGATTTTGACGCGAGTTATGCACGTCGGGGCCTACAAGCGTCGATGAAAATCGAAATATCTACTCGACGACGCACGCAAACTTATGAATCGGCATCGATAAGCTTGCGACAAATTGTAGATTCTATATTGAACAAGATTTAACGACGAATTCGTGGTGACTTTCAGGTGTTCGGGAAATTGTTGCACCAGGTAACACTATGTAGCAAAGGAACCGAAGTGTGGAGTGAGAAAAACGAAGAAAAAAATTCGATTATCGTCGTTCAACGCAGAACTATCTGGAATATGAAGTATATTTAAAATACGGCAGAAAATATTGATCATAAAACAGTGATGATAACAACAAGAGTGCAAGAAAATTCTAGGAAAAAAAAAAACATTAGTTTACTTATAATTGAACTACGCAAATGTTAAAAAGGTAAACACTTTCGCATCAAGCGTGTGAAAACGCACATTGTATATACAACATTTGCGAATTTTTGACTCAGTCGAGTGGCTACGGCACTGGGCATCCTGTGAAATGCGGCCCCGCGGCAAGAAAAACGGGGACCCGGCGCAGCGGCAATCGTCCAACGAGTGAGCCAGGGCATTGCCAGCGCGGAGTGCAGCTACAGCAGTTGCGGTGACTTGTAAGGTCCTCGTGAAACCGTAGAGCGTTGACAACGGAACCTGAAGCGTGCGAATTCCGACGTACCGTTGTCGCTGGCACTCGGACTCTCAGGTAGGCAGATTAGTAAATTATAATCGGCAGCGCGATCGACTGACAGCGCGGCATGCGCGCCTATTATGAGATCATAGCGGGTCTGGATGCACAGGTGGGTACGAGGGGGAAGCCAAAGAAACCGACTACGACGGCGACCACGAGTCGAGAATACGTCACGAGTTAGCGGGCTTCCCGCCGTCGATTTGGCGCCGTCGGAATGACAGCTACACAGGATTGAATTGCTCTGAGGTGAACGAGTCGCGTCTCTTGAAGTCAAAATGGCACGCTTGGACCGATTGACAAAGCGGAATGTTTGCTCTTTCCGCGAGGTGAGACGAAAGACGCGTGAATGCTGATAAAGAGAAATTGCTATGACTTGCGTTATGGTGGAAGCGACGACGTATCGAGGCGAAGATGAAAAAAGATGTGCGACGTGGTGCTAATAAACGAGAAATGGTGATTCCGTTTCGTTAGAGTGCATACTAGAGAGAAAGGTATTCCTTCTATTAAAAGATACGTATACATACACATACGCACATGCATGTATATATACAGAAGAGAATAATTCATGCTCTGCAGGAACCTATAATATACCGAAGAAAAGGGCACGGAGAAAAGAAATGGGAGACGTGTGAATGTTGATAGAAAAGAATTGGTGTAATACGTGCTTTACTGAGATCTACGCTATGCCGAAGCGAAGGACACCTATTCGTGAAGAAAGCCGGAGAGAGACGGGAGACTCGTGACTACTGATAGAGGGGAATCGGTGTTACTCGTGGCACCGCGTCGGGGATTAGTATACGAGAGACTGGTATGTCGATTGTAAGCTTAAGTTGAACGCGAAGGCCACGATTGTGAGGAGAGCGACGCTGACGCGTGTACGAGTTGTGCGATAACGTAGCACGGTAGTGGTCTCGAAAGTGAATAGTACTCGAAATAAGTGATAAACGTGTTCACTGAGTGCATTTGAACCCAACGTACCATGAATACTTCAAAATCGTAATAGTTTCATCTGATTTGTACGATTGAACTTTGAAATAACGTGATTTTTTTCTGATATGCTTCGCGAAAGGTGAAAGACTACTTATTGATACAATTTAAAAAAAAAATGAAAACACAACGCTGATTTGCGTTTAAACGATTAGTGTTTAATTTTTTTTAAATCTTTAACTAATCGTCGGATAAAGTTACTTGAGAGATAATTGCTTTTCCGTCTCTTCCGGAATCGCAAAAATGTCTGCAATGCTGATAGAAAGCTGAAGTTAGCTAACTTATGCTGAAGAAATCGACTATAACTGTGTCATGACGTGGTTCTCGCTGGATTGCTTCCGATGAGGATTGCGGGAAACCGAAGAATTCTTCGTGAGAATCTTGCGTTGCGTCGCAACACGCAACAATAAGAAGACGCCGCTGGCAGGTGTATTCGGACGAGAAGCACGCGAAAGAAGACGAAAACGAGAAGAAGCCGAAGAGGAGGCAAAAGAGGTGAAGAAAAAGGCAGAAATCGGCCGTCGTGAGAGTAGGGCCCCCTACGGCGATAAGGCGAGGCCCAGGGGAATTGTGGAGGGAACGACGTATGTATCACGCGGGGCCGGTCGCGCGGACCGGGCCCGCCGTTGCCGCTCGTGAGAGACCGCGCGCTGACCCAGATTTCGGCGGATCGAACCGGCACGAGGAGGCCGCGGCGGACTTTCTGAAATGGGACACGGCGCAGCCTGGAGCTAAATTAGCCGCGATGTCCAATAAGAGTAAGTCTCAGCCGCAGCAGCATCAGCAGCAGCCGCAGCAGCACCAGCAGCAGCCGCCGCCGCAACAGCATCATCCTCCGCACGTGATCAAGCCAGTGGACCAGCTGCCGCCGCGCTACCAGCCCCCGCCGCAGCCCACCGGCGGCATCTTAAAGAACCATTTACATTTCGCCAGCACAGCTACGTCGGCGCCAAGTTCGGGTCAGACTGGCAACAGTCAAGGTCCGGTTGTGACCTTGAACCATCATCAACCGCGCACGTTGCCGCCACCACCGCCGTCCTCGCAGCATCTTCAGCAACAACAGCAGCAGCAACAATCGGCGCAGCAGCAGCAATCGCAACAACAACCGCCGAAGGATGCGCAGAGCAAATATTCGCCGAGGATAGAGCACCATCATCATCATTCGCAGCCGCCTAGCACGCTGATCGCTGCCGCGTCGGCGGCGGCGTCGAAGAATCAGCAACAACAGCAGCCGTCAACCTACCTCCAACAGCCTAAGCTCGGTCAAGGTCCATATTTGCCACCCAGCAGCCAGTACCCGGCGGTGAACAGTGGACAGAACGCGCTGGTCAGGCAGCGGATCAGCGACGACGAATTTCTGCGACTCGGTCCCGTGGAGATGCTCAAGTTTGTGCGGAAGACCGAGAGTGACATTGCCAGGCTCGCCGCCGAGCAGCATCGCCAGATACAGGGCTTGGTGAGTTTCTCGACGGGTTTTCTGCTTCTCTGTAACGTAATAGCCGATCAAATTAGAGCGAATCGTTAAAATTAATCATATCAAACACGAAACTCGATAACTCGATAACGAAAGCGTAACTTGAGAAGTTCGTTGTTGTAATCACTTCCGTGTAATGTTGTAACTTTAGAAGTCGTTTGAACGAAAATGCATGCAGATTTAAGAGAGAATTTTTATGATTTTTAACATTTTATATTTTTATAAATCTTAAATTTCTCTTAAAATAAATCTGTTTAAAATTAATTAAAGGATAAGTTTCGGTCAAGAGAAATTTTGTTATTATTATTTTAATTAATAATTTGAAAATTATGCAATAGAAGTGAAATGTAATCTAAATAATTATTTATTTTATTCGTTTTATTTTTATTGAAGAATTCTTTATCTTGCAATGACAGTTTTATTTGGCAATAAATTAATTTCGCAATCATTGATTATGTTAATATCTTGCAACTGATTAAACAAGCTGGTCTTTTCTGCTTTTTTAATATTACGTTATCGTAATGCATTATACCAATGAAATATCACGATATCATAATGTTTCATTACATTTTCGGTACGTGAAATGTGGTTTGTCGTCCTTGAAATCTTTAGCGCGCTACACGGAAGTTTTCGAAAGGCTCTTGTAGGTCATACAGATTGAACCGACCGTCGTAATTTCAAGCAGTCACGCATACGTGAGATAAACCGCAAGCGATCAGCGGGGACAATCGGTTCCCTTTGGCCGACAAAACGCTAACTTTACTGAAACTGCAGAGCCGGGATTGGTCACGCGTCGCTCGTACACGTGTGATGAATGCGTGAAAGGCTTTTTTTCAGCAATCGGCACGAGTGCGTCATTCAGGTAGATCAATGACTCCGTTATTTCTCTCGCAACACAGGCGCGCTGATTAATAATGCAAAAGATGTTCGGCTAAATAAAAGGCATACCAGTCTTATGCGAAAAAAATGTATAAATATTTATAGAAGTCAGATATGCACATTCAAATAATTTTGTGTACAATCAGATGTTATTTACACACTTTATATCATTAAAAATTTATTTCTTTACAAAAAGTGGAAATAATGTAACAGATTTTCTGTCTCTCTGTCCGCGCGAATTAGCAGTCCGAATTAAATATATTTAATTATATATCATGGATAAAAACATAAAATCTTATAAATATATGCAAGGTTTTGGGCACAAGTAGAGTTAAAGCTGTTATTCATGCTTTAATATTTATTATATGTTTTATGTATACGCGCGCGTGTTTTTCGGCCACTATCATGACTCTCTTGAGTTTATCTACGTTTATATTAACAGCCAATAAATAATAATAAAATTAAAATACAACAAAAATCTTAACAACTAATAAAATCTTATATGGAATTTTAAAAGCTGCAGCCGTAAAGAATGTAAGACGAGTGTGCGATAAGCTATCTACTTTCCAGCTGAATGAGCTGCGAGCGCTGAAGGAAGCCAACCAAAAACTAAACGACGATAACCAGGAGCTGCGTGATCTCTGCTGCTTCTTAGACGACGATCGACAAAAGGGTCGGAAACTGGCGAGAGAGTGGCAGAGGTTTGGCCGATACACAGTGAGTGTCATGCGCCAGGAGGTCTCGGCTTATCAGAACAAGTTGCGCCAGTTGGACAACAAGCAGCAGGAATTAATTAAGGATAATCTGGAACTCAAGGAGCTGTGCCTGTACCTCGATGAGGAACGCGGCGGTGGTCAAAGGGATGACGGTGATGGATCGAGTTCGAGTACGAATGCCGAGGAAACTGCGTTACCGAGGCCGAGGCACGCTTCCACATTCAATGGTTAGGCTAATTCTTTTATTCAATAAATGAAAAACATTTTTCAATGCCGTAATAGAAAACATAATAATTTTATGCGACTATAATTTGTAAAAGAAATCTGTTTTCCGCAGTAATGTTGGATTATAAATATACACATTATATAAATGAAAGCTTAATATTAAAAATAAAATAGAATAATATTGTATACGCGGAAAGACATATATTGTACGATCCACTTACAACTGGATGGTCTTTTTGCATTCTGGAGTAAATTGAATCGCAATTCTTTTTCAGACCAAACGATGCAGTACGTGAGGAGTTTAGAACAACGAGTGAAACAGTTGGAGGAAGACAAGAGTGTCCTCCAAGCCCGTGCTCAAGGCTGGGAGGTACCACCGGGTGAAGTTTGGGACAGTCCTGTGAGCCCGAATGACAATACTAACTTAGGAAGCCGACCGGAAGCGGTAGTGCGCGCTCTTCAGGTTCTCGAGGTCAGAGAGCAACTGGAAAGAGAGGAAGGTCACGATGGAGAGAAGGCATTGGTTAGAGAAATGTGCAATGTAAGTGAATCGCGCTGATATTTCTCGCTTAGCATGCATCTTTTAGAGCGTATTTTTATGTTTATAAGAAAAAAAATTTTTAACAAAGTAATTAATAATGAAATAATTTTAGAAATTTCCTTGAAATTTAATTATTTTATGTAATATCTGCCATCAAATTTTAATCATTCGCCCGAAGTAATTCTTCACGCGAAACAAATGATTTTGACGTGTTCTTTATGATATAATATGTATGATTAATCGTTTTTTTCAGGTTGTCTGGCGGAAATTGGAGGAAGGTCCGCAAGCGAGGCATTAACGATAATGCTGTCTGTTTGTCGGTTTTTAATATTACTAATAATTACAAGACTAACTCTGTTATGTCCGAGGCGTAATGATAGTATTATATAGCAGGTAATGTAAATTAAATTTTATATTTTATTTTTAATCTACTATGTAGATTTTTTATACATGTACAATTATCTTGATATGAGAATATCTATAGTATCTATTTATACAAATGTAGCGTTGTTAGTTTTTCTAGATTGATTGTTAACAAAGTATTTTTATTATACAACATCTACAATTTACTCTGTCCTATCCTCTTTCCTAATTCCCATTTCCGGGAAATTTCTTCCTACAGTCTTTGTATCTTTTACGGGGCTTATAAAGCCTATAAATTAGAAGTCAAATATATATATAAATTATCCAGTAATTTAATTACAGCAAACTTTTCGAAACTGAATTTAAAACAGGATTTTCGAAATCTCTAATATATACATGATTTAATCAGCAGTATTGGGCATATTTGCAGCGCGCAAGGTCACAATTTCTCGTCCGTTTCTTTTGCATTCGCCAGCTAATCATTTGCCGTGTTTCACTTGCCGCTTTTCACGAAAAGACATTCCCTTGGCGAAGTTCACGCATTGAATACGCAAGCGAGTGTTTGTATTTCTATTTTTATCCCGTCAAAGGATTTACTCTCAATGGTACCAAAGTTAGAATTGCCCCATATACACTATGCGTAGTTGCATCAATGCCAGGCAATTAGGACATTTTCCAATCTAGCTCTCATCAATTTCATTATCTTGCTAGTTAGCGTATTTCTAACGTAAACGTAAAAAACATTTAAATTAAAATCTTACGTGATTCATGAAAGATAATGGAATTAATGCGAAAGTCGAATTATCTGACAATAATATCGCATAACTGATCATTCATCAACGTTTGAGCGTGTATTTTAAAGAGGAAGTGTTCTTGCAAATCGCTTTTCTCGCGTCCTTGTATTTATCCTTCTCCGCCGACGAGTTTGCGCCGCGCCGGACGAAAAGCGGCGGTGGGGATCGCGTGTAGCAGCCACCGGCTGTTGGGAAGATGAGAGTCGCCGGTGATGTGCTTGTGCGGAGGCCTCGCGGAGGACAACGCCAGGATCATCCTCCTCGCCGTTGTCCTGGCAGCGTACATGCTCGCAGGCGCAGCCCTTTTCCAACGACTAGAGAGTGATCTTGAGATACGGCAGGTACAGAAAGTGTTCGCATGTGTACCCCCGCAAAAAAAAATTAAAAACTATTGCAAATTCTCCTAACAATCGTAGACAAAAAAAAACATGCATCCCTTATTCAGAATTAAAAGATGCTGCAGTGATTTTTGTGGAAAGCATTATTAAGTATGATTTCATGTAATATTAATTTAGACAAATCAATGATTCGCGTGTGTATTTTTGTAACATGATCAATGTGTGGCTGCAAGCTTTTATTAAGAAATTTGGGATGTTAGAGTTGGATATAAACCTTTTTTAAAATAGATATTTCTTTCATATTAATTTTTCTATGGATTTTGCCACAGGCTACAGAGTTTTGGCGAGTATATCACGCATTTCGGAGACACCATTTGCGAGGCAGCCCCTTGGCTCTGCAGAGGTTGCACGAGCTGCTGTACGCTTACAGCAACGCTTCCGCCACCGGCATCATCAATAAAAGACGCCGTTGGGACTTTCCTGGTAGCTTTCACTTCGTGGGTACCATAGTTTCTACAATTGGTAAGAAATATAAGCATAATACCGTATTTAGAATACTAGTTACTACTCATCCACGTCGTGGTCGAGGCTAACGGGGTCAGTGGAATTTGTGTCACGTGTTTTGCGCTTTGCATTCTGTCGATTTTCTGCTCCCGTGAAATCGCAAAAATATTAATCTTCACAGAACTAGTACAATATTTCAGTCTATATTCCAAATATATATTTTTATATCTGTAAAAGTTTTTAAAATTATTATTACATACAAAACGTACAATTTTTTTATTTATCGTAACATTTGATACTTCAATTAATTTAATTTTCTTTTACTGCAATCGATATTTTTTAATACAAACATATTTATGTGATATATGAATATTCACATACCATCGTACATCATTAGGAAAATTGTTGGCAATCGCATTCTTTTGTAAAACTTGGTCGTAATGATATTAAGTAAAGGGAGTAAGGGTCGTCGGCCGGGCGTATGCGTAAGAATGTACCGGTGAATTCCGGAATGCTAATATCTCGCGACCTAGTCTCGCATTTATCCCCTCGGTTGGTTGTCCATTGGTGGACCGATGTCTATATATGCGTATGTTACCGTGTAATATACTTCTGAAATGAAAGAACCGTGATACTAAGATTATTTTGCAGGGTACGGGAGCACGGCGCCTCAAACAACGGCAGGCAAAGCGGCTGTCATTCTTTATGGTTTCTTCGGGTGCTCCGGTAATCAAATACAGATTTAATTATAAGAACGTACATAATTAACGTCAAACATTAATTGATTATAATGAATGATGATTATTAGAGGACATCTAATAGACATCGTCTTTAGAATTGAGTTGAAGCTTTCTAGTAAATCCGATATATTATTTTGAAATAACATTGAAACGTGTGAACGTGATTTGACAAAATTTGATTTCAACTTTGAATAAATGATCCAGGTGGCATTCTGTTCTTCAATCTTTTCCTGGAGAGGATTATCACTTTCCTCGCGTGGATTTTACGCAGCTGGCACGTACGTCGATTAAGGAGACGTCTCCGCAGGACTACATTAGCGTCTCGACGAGTTTCTAAGTCATCAAACACCCAGAGACCATCTCTGCCGGACATACTCGATGACGACGATCACGTAGATCTAGACCAATGGAAGCCAAGCGTATACTGGATCATGCTCTACTTGTCCACGATCTCCTGCATCATCGCCTGTTGCGCCGCTGCGCTTTACGCGCCACTAGAAGACTGGAATTACTTCGATGCGCTGTACTTTGCTTTCGTCAGTTTCACCACCATCGGCTTCGGCGACTTCGTCAGCACGCAGAAACCGAGCTATCCGCACGTACATTGGTACGTTATGAAAATTTTCAAGTCAGCGAGATCAAATTTGCATGATTTATTCATGACATGCGGTGAAAATTCTGTAAAATGACTTCTAATGGATACCGTCTTAATGCCAGATTTTTTATGAAAATCTAAAAAGACAGCAATAGTTCTTAAACTGTAAATTAACGAAATCAAAGAATTTCGTTGTGAGCTTTAAAAACGCGAATAAAGTCTATTTCTATTTACATGTTTATGCAGGTATAGATTCGCAAACTTCATTTTCCTGGTGGTGGGATGTTGCTGCATATATTCCCTGTTAAACGTTACATCGATCGTAATAAAGCAGGGCCTGAATTATGTAATACACAAGCTTCAATATGGTAATCAGGACGTAGCAGCGCCGTATTTGCCGAGAAGGCAGTCCTCGGTATCGAGTATATATTACTCGAGGAAGCGGTCGACGAAGCTTGTAGGCAGAGATTCGATCAGGGCGAAGGATAACTCGGAGATGCCGCGCAGGATGTCAGGCGAATTGATTTCTATGAAGGATTTCCTGTCCGCGAACAAAGTCTCCCTGGCTGTGATGCAGAAACAGCTGTACGATGCCGCGCAGAAACAGAGGGGCGGCGGATCGCTCGTCGCCACGCCGAATCATCAGGTGTTGAGGCCTGGAGCCGTAGGCCCGCTCGCAATCGCTAGCGAAAAGTTCGAAAGCAAAAGCACGATAAATAGATAGGATAGTTGCAGCAAGGTAGAAGCTATAAAAATATATATGATAGCATCAGTATTGAGTATATTTTTTACCTCTTGTCAAATCTTGTTCGCTTAATACCGAGCTGTCCTTATTAATACATTCCCTCGGTTCCTTGCAACGCGTCCCATGCAATAAGAACTATCCATTATGTATTACCTTCAGTAAAAGCGGCATATGTAATAAATGTGATATGTAAATTTTTAAATCTGTTATTAAGTAATATGTTGATTGAATAAAATTCATATTGATTACATCTTTTTACATGTATTTAAATTATAGTCAGAAATCTTTTTTTACTTGTTAGAAATTAATGTAAAATACAGAAAAATAACTAATTAGTAACTGAAAAATATCAATATT